AGCTATTTAAATTAAAGGGGGTTAATTGGTCCCCAGATTCCCTGGGACAACATTCTGGCGCCAAAAAGGGGGTAATTACACTAGGGGTTATTTATATGAAGTACACACTAAAAATGTTATTACACTAAGCGCAAATCATACACATTAACTGAAATAAATATTTCTCTCACGCTTAATACGGATTGTATTATTCATAATATTATTTATATATTTTGACCTTGATTTTATATCTAAACTAAGAGATTATTTCTAATTTTGGATAAAAGTAAATGAGTTGTACCCGGTTCCAGTATTCTATCGGGCACATTTACTTGATGCCTTTGGAAAATAAGTGATCGGAAAGATTTAGTGCTAAAGGAGTAATCATGGGAAGAAACATTTCTCGCAAGATCACGCCGTGACCATACCTGGTGATAGCGTGATCCCAGATTGGAACGGTTAATAAAATATGATCACGGCCTGGGAAGCCACAATTATGCCAATAAGCTTCTTTGTGATAATCGCGCTACTTATGCGCTACAAAATGCCCTTAAAACACGTCCTCACGACCAATTTTAGCTTATCAAAACACAATTGTGCTAAATAGCCGTCCTCTGATTCAATTACGAGAACAATCAGTGCGACGTCTTTACCACAAGGTTCTAGTCCGCAATCTTAAACGGGCTATTTCACTGAGTGATCGCAGTGAACGTAATTTCTAGATATAGATATATTATTATTATTATTATTATTATTATTATTATTATCATTATTATAATTACTATTATTATTATATTGTCCTAGCTACATATCAACTGAAAGGCACCGGTATTTTTCACTGATGACTTATCGTTAGATTAACCACCAGCTAACTTTGGACTCTCCGCTTGTCAGTCTTGTAACGCTATTAGCAGAATCAATTTGAAAGCTCGCTCCGAAAATACAATAGATAACTCAATTTTCAGATATAAAATAAGCTAGAAGAAATCCATTTACCGAAGCATTCGTAAACTTCCTGTCTCCAGAACCGAAAACGTATTACTTCGTATTGTTAATTGTACCATCGATCGCCTTCATTTCATAGCAGCCTACACTTCCATCTATCTTTCCTAAACGGCGAAACGTTAAAACAGCTTGTGCAGTGAAAACAGTTGTCCTTAAAACTAACCGAAGTAATATCGTACAGTATTGTGATTATGCTTTGTTGAATTTCCTTTTCATATAACTCAGCAGGAGATGTTTGCTATGTGACAGTTTGGGGTCTACCAAGAAAAATCTTGAACTGAAACAGTAGAATAACTCTCTTGTTACAAATTTTTCTGGAAAACAATATAACAGCCATAGGATTGTTTCAAACGATTGCGTGCAACAACTGAGATGAGACCTTGTGACATGCATGTAGCGAACGATGATCTGCAAATCTCTTCACAGCGTGTCGTCGCAATACAGCATTGAAATACTCAGTCATAGCATTGTCATCTGCAGACTGGACAGTGGTAACTGCATAAATTTCCTGCTAAGAGTGTAAATTATATCCATTATGCTGGCCGGTGATGATTGTTAAAAGACATTGATTGGTAAATGAACTTGCAAGTTCGCGAGCACTCAGCGTATCAGTAACCACAGCAACAACTTGGTGCGTTACCTTAAACCGTAACGAGGGTACTTGATCCCTCTCAGAAGAAAAGCTGAATGGGGATGCGTGCCAAAATTGACAGTATTAAAACTTAAAAACTCTTAAAGGATAAATAAAACAATTGCTTATAACTTTAGTTTTGAAATATCATAACGATAAAGTAATTCTGGAAAGAATAATTTGATTTGTTTGTATTTAACTTTCTTCCGAATTATTGAAGTTACGTAAACGTTTTCGATTGGATAATTTATATCATTTCGCCTTTTGGCAAAAAAAAAAAAAAAAGGAAAAAGAAATGTTTCTTTAGTGGATAAATTTTTGTAAGACACCGTATCGTAATGCATTTTTCTACGTCTCATCCACTGATTGAGTTGTTATATTAACCGATTATGAATGAAACTTGTTTCCTGCTGGAAGCTGCTTACAAAAGCGAAGGACCGCACTTTGCAGCGGTTTACCGGCGTAATAAGCCAAATGGGATGTTAGGAGAACACGAGAAAAATTTGTAAACCACGAGCAGGAGGTAAGTGACTGATTTTCGAACTTTTTGATTGTTGTTTTAACACCCTACATAGTCTAGTACACTGGTAAACCGATAGAAAGTGTCATCTATTACCTTTTACAAAAACAAAATTAAAACAAAACACGATATGTTTAGATTTTATATGGAATGGGTTTACCGGTAAAATAAAAGATAGTTTTTTTTTTTGTTTTATATACATATTTGGACGTTTATAATAGTATCCCAGCTATTTTACAATTATATTATAATTCAACGATAAAATTATACTTCACTTTTCTTTTAGCAGGATGATATAGCCAAAGAGTCGCTGACACCTTGGAAATAAATTTGGAGAGGAGGGGGGTGGGTTGAGGCGGATCCAGCGGTTGTTTTGGATCGTTTATTGGAACCCGTTCACTGAAATGAAAAACACGTGCATGCACTTTTTGATGAAGAACTTAGGTGGTCATGGTGGAATTTTTAAAAAATAAAAACTGAGATTTGTTCAAAGGCTCGAAATAATCAACAATGATCAAATACTACGCAAGGAATTAAATTTTCCGAGGATGCAGAAAGAAACGTAGCCGTAAAATCATGCCTTTGAAAGGGGTTTTGACCTTGGTTGAATCTCGTTAGTAGAGTCAGATGGCTTAAATCGCTCCAAGTCTGATCAAAGCACTTATTTTTTCGGCAATTTTTTCCTTATTCCCCTAAGTATCCCTAAACCGCTTTAAGTCAAAATATGTTACGACGAAAACGAAATAAATCCGACCTTCATGGCAGAGAAAAGGTTATGGCGTCGAAAGAGAAGCAGACGATCTCCGTGGATCAAGATCATTCAAAACGTGACAGTCTTGAAGAACAGCCGTCAGAAACCAGAAGCAGACATGTGTCGGCAGCTATCAATTGTCTTACCAGATGCCGTCGAAAAACTTTGGTAACCGTTGTAGCTCTCATAGTAGCCATTTCCGTACTCATCGCAGTGGTGCTTGTTGGAAAACATCTTACGCAAACACACGACCACAACAATGTAATAGGTAAAAATTGATTTGCCTTTTGTCTTTGCGAGTTCGTTCAAAAGTCATTCTTGATGAATCAGACACATGAATAAAAGAGAACTAGGTGGTGGTCGAAACTTCACAGCATCTAGGTTTCGTTTTTCATTTCTTAAGTGGTGATGATTCAGCAATTCATTTTCCATAAAAGTCAAAAGCTACCTATGTAGCTCTAGTCTTCATCGATCGACATTTGGCGTAGATCATTTAATTTTGATTTTAAAGAAGGGATTGCGACCCACAGAGACGGACTATGGAACACTTTAAGAAGAACACTGACAGTGGTGTTTAAAATATGGGGTGCATGTACTGTGGTTTGATAAACTTTGTCTAATGGACTAACTTTCTTGATTTTATTTATTTATTTATTTTTCCGAAAATCGTTTCCTTTTTCTACCTTTTTTTTAAAATTTTTTTTGCGAGTATGCTTTCTTGTAGTTGTTGACGTCTTTTTGTTTTAATACAAATCTGTAATTATATTTTCCTGCCGAAATATTCGGCTTAAAGTTGGTCTGTCAAGTCTCTCCAAGTCCTTGTTTTTTCTTTAACAAAAGAGGTTTTAAAATCCCCTCGAACAATGGATAAGATCATTAATGATATCGTCAAAAACGCCATAAAACCATAAAACTAACGTGATGTTTGATATGCCAGGCGTTTAACTGCGGAGTCAATGACTAACATGGATAGCGCGACTTGTTCTAAATATCTACTACGTTATTCATTGCGTCAGGAATTTCGGCAAGTCACTGCTCTCATTGGTAAATGTTTATCAATCAGTGATGGAGAGAGGATTGTTGGATTTACAGCCATTGACGTTTCATTAATTGCTGACCGGTCTTCTTAACGAATAGCCTCTGGCGATTGTCATCCTACAGAAACAATCCATTTAGTAGAAACTGGCAGCAATCCATTTTTGACGCTTATCAAACCACCTTAAAACCATCATCTGGCCTCAGTAATCTAAAAAAGAAAAACAATAAACTTTTTCTTAGGGCGACCGAAAGTTCACAAACCTCACAAGTGTGCGAATATGCCACCCAGGTCTGGCCGGACGCAATGTCTAAATCTTAAAATCCCAGAATCAAAGAATTAACGAGCGCATAACTAGATTGAAAAAAAAAAAAAAAAACATTATCTGGCTTAATCAGTCTTACGCCCATAAAGAATTGAAAGAAATGTCAATAATAAGTTCATTCCTCCGCTTAGATTTGTTATGTAGATAATCATTATAACAAATCGCACAAACTTTATAAGAATTTCAACAATACCAACCTTGAAGTGAGCTCTTGCTGCATACCTAACTTGAGAAATAAAGTCCGAAAAACAAAAACAAACTAAAAAAAGGAAACAAACAAAAAACTACGGAAATAGCTTGAATGAATTTCACGAGCTTTCCCCAACAGTTCCCAAAATAGAGTAATGATAGGATTAAGGACCTTTGTCCTCTTGATGGGAAGTGCGTGACAAATAACGTGACAAATAACGTGACAAATAACGTGACAAATAACGTCACCTACAAATCCGCTGTTCAGATGTCACGCGATGGAGGAAGAAGTAGGAAACCCAAAACGATTTTAATTATTTTGGTGATTAATTTTAAACAAACCAATTGAACTCATTGCTCGGCTAAGCTGAAAGAAAAAAAGCTGTTTTGTCTTCTATTAGTTTGAACTTTTTCTTATATGCTTTTGTTTTTAATTTCTGTTTTGTTTTGTTCTGTTTTGTTTTGTTTTGTATGTAGTCTTTATTTATTGATTACACAACAACATATACCTGGAAACAAACGTGCAAGGTTTACAAGAGTATATTGCTAAAGAGAAAACTAGTTATAATCTAAATGGAACTAAAAAGACGTCTGTTAATAAGAGTTCGCTTAAAACAATCCGTACGAATTCGAGGTAAAATGTAGTTATGGCCGCAAGAACGGAGCGACCTTCCCCTCTTGTTCTGATCTGCTCTGTTCTGTTTTGTTTTGTTTTGTTTTGTGCTGTTTTGTTTTGTTCTGTTTTGTTTTGTTGTTGTTTTGTTGTTGTTTTGTTGTTGTTTTGTTTTGTTTTTTTTGTTTTGCTTTTTTTGTTTTGTTTTTTTGTTTCTTTCGTTTTTTGGTTTGGTTTTGTTTTGTTTTTGTTCAGTTGGTTTTTGTTTTTGTTTTGTTTTTGTTTTTGGTCTCTTTATCGGAGGATAGTATATGGATTCATTCATTCATCTATTGTGATGGAAGTGACACACCGAATAAACATATTGCTTTGCACTTTATCTTCAACAGTCTTGTTTTCTCTTTTAAGATACAGAAGAGGTCAGTAAAGCTGGCCAAGATATAGATGAGGATGAAGATGACTGCAACAATACAAATGGCTCTCACAATCGTACCTGTAAAGGGGAATACGTTAGACCCTTTCAGCCATGCAAGGACGTGAATGCAAGCTTTGCAAAAAGTAATGCCTCCCTCAATTGTACAGGTAAGATGCACAGGAGAAATTCAGGAAAAGAAAAAAACTCCATTTGAACTTACCGAATGGCATTACTCGCCTTCGAGCTCTTCGAAAATCAGAGGAGCTAAATTTTAAATAATTGCAGAGAAGAAGCCTGAAGAAAACATAGGCTTCGAAAGGATTTGTGACTCCCAGCTGAAACTGTTTTTTTTTAAATTTTTTTTTAAACGACTTTATTGGGCATATCAGATAAATATTTGAACAAGGCAAAAGTACAACAATACAATAACAAATAGAAAACAGGAGAGAAACTGAGGTAAAACTGCACCCAAAAGGGAAGGCGCGAAAGGGACGTAAAGTCCCATGCGAGGCGCCGCCCATTATGAATTAAAAAACACTATAAAATAGAAAATTACAAAAATACAGAATAAATAAATAATAATTTCAACTTGGTGGCAGGAGCACGTGCTGGCTAGTGTCCACGTTCAGGGCCAATCAATGTCATATATAGTTTTTAGATGGTCTAGCATTACTTTGCGGACAGATTTCTGGTACGAACCTGGGTTGTCAAAGCTGGTGGATGGTAAGACGGAACAAGTATGGTTCCAGAGTTTTAGACGTATTTAAAAATTGAACTATGAACCCACACGTGAGAAGAGAACCAAACGTTAACCGGGGAATTTGAATTTCATCAGGCCTCTTGTGATCTTGTCAGTAGTCTCTTAATTTGAATTTCACCTGCTTTTATTCGCTTGAATATTATCTGCAGGTAAAATTTTTATTGAAATACGCGTGCATTCTAATAAAAAATTGAGACGGATTTTTCTACTAGGTTTCACGTAATAAGGACTTGATATTGTCCTTGGAACCCAAGAAGTTTTCCCGAAAAAGCTCTAACAAATAAATTATGACTATTACAATTATGAAGACAATCTTTTGCAATTATTATTCAACTCTCTAGTCGACCCATGTGTTAATTACAAAGTCCTGAGTAATGCAGATAGAAGGAGTAGCCACATTACAGTCTTCAATCAAATGTCATGTGACGTAGGATTCTGGGGATGGTATCGTTTCGTGGGAGCAGCAGGAACAAGAATGCCTGATAGATGCATAAGGCGAAATAGATGCAATACAGTTCTTTCAGGCTGGTTGAATGATGACCATCCTTCAGTGGAAGATGGTGAAATTTCCAGAACGGTCTGTTTTTCCCAGCATCCATACGGCTGTTGCAGATTCATATTGGAAATTTCCGTAATAAACTGTGGATCCTATTACGTTTACCGTTTCGTTACACCACCTAAATGTCCAGGACGCTACTGTAGTACAGACTAGCTTAAAAAAGTCATTCATTTACCACAAAAAATAACTAAAATGATAGATTTTTATACTGCGTACAGCGTGGTTTTTGTTTCTGAAAGACCAACATCAAAATAAAATAACTACACCACAACGATTGAAAAAATTGACATAGTTCTCATACAAATCGTTTTGTCTCGCTTTGTTTTGCTTCTCCTTTTTAATCTGTTCGATCATTTGTTTGATAAATGGAGGACCACAAGTATGTTAGCCTTTTAAGCCATTAAGTGCTTCTCTCTTTAAATAAAGAGTCACTTTCCAGCTTGTGTACACAGACCAGTCGCTAACTCCATCTGAAAGGGATTATCGTCTAAAATCAAGATGACCCCACTCCCCTCCCCCCTCAGTCGCCTCCTAGCTACCGTCGGGGTATTCAGTCAAATTTTTTTGTACCTGAAACCTATATTTTGCTAAAAACATAGCTTCAAACGCCAGAAGTTGCTCGAAAGTTGCCGAGCGCATTCAGGATAGACTTGATAGAGCTGAATAACGTATGCATATGCGCTGGGTTTTGCCGCGGAAAACGGATTTTTGAGTAATTGGTTATATCAACTAAGTTGAAATTGTAAATTGGCCACCGGAACGTACGAGTTAGCTTTTTAACTCGTTATAGTGGCCAATTTACAATTTCAACTTAGTTGGTATAACCAATTACCTTGTTACCTCCACCTACGCAGCACCAGAGTCTCTTTGGAAACTTTCAACCTTTATTCATTTCACCCTTTATTCATTTGGATTTTTGAGCAGTTTGCAGAGTTGATTTTCCATTCTGTTGCTTCGAGGCGTCGTTTTCCTTGCGGCTTTCTTGTACAGAACAACCAAATGCTTCTTGTACAGAACAACCAAAAAGTTGGTACACCCCCTGAAAATTTTCGAAAATTAATTTTCTCCTTAAAACCTTTGAAAATAGGAACATGCCTTTGACGGTAAGCTATTTCCTTGGTTTTAAATGTCAGCCCTTATCATTTTCCGCTAATTTCGCTAAATCTAAGACCTAGAACACTTGAGCCCACGTTAATGATCGCATACCCTCTGACGTATCATTTCATTATTCAGCCCTGTCTACAGACTTGCTTTCATAGATAAGCTTGGCTAGTGGGATGGGGGGACGAGGTGGATTAAACGGTAATTTTTCTTGAAAACACACAATTCTGTAAGGCGGCCCAGACCTAACCATAAGGCCATCTTGCCCTTTTAGCCACTACGTAGCTAGTTCTGACTATGGGCTTGGTGTAATGTGTAGAAGAGGTGTGAAATAAGGAATGCGAACTGTAGGCTCAGTATAGAAGGCCGAGCTGGAAGTGTCTTTACGTATCACAATTTCCAAACGGAACGTTTGATGACTGCATCTTGCCACTTTAACGACGACTTTAAGAGGAAATGCACAAATATTTCGAACAAATCGCGGCCACGGTCAAAAATGAAATCTACCTTCTTTTTCAATTTTTTTAGGTAACTATAAACGAGTTTACAAAGGTTTCGGGTCTTATTTTTCAAAGTACCGCTGAATTTCGGAAATATTTGAGAAAATCGATTTCACGCTCTCCATGGCCAAAAATAGCTGTATAAATGAGCCAAAGGGAGAATTCGCAAAAACGTCCTCGCGTCTTTGGTGGAAGACATAACTTCGAAAGTTAATAATCCATGTCAAAAGTAGTATTAAGCACTTATACTTCTCCCAACGAAAAACACAATATTTAATGGCAATTTGTTAATAGCCTGAGTATACATTGTTTTACTGTCTAATTACCAACCGAAATTTCGATATGTGGCCATTCCCCAATCGGGTTCATCTTATC